ATAAGATCATAAATAAATCAGTTTACAATCAGAGAATTGGTTTACTTTTTTCTAATCTTCTCTTTTTCTCTCTCTCAGAAAAAAAAGAAAAGATGAGGCAGAAAAGAAAGAGAGAAATAGTTGTGAGCTCTTTAACAATGACCTCATCTAGTGGAGTGGAAATTTCCTGGTAGGCATGGTGACAGCAGTAGCAGAACTGAGAACATTTAGCAAGATGAGAGAGACCGAGAGAAACAGACCCCAACTCACTGACACAGCAGTATCACAGTGAAGATTATCCCCCCCCCTCTCTCTCTCTCTCTCTCTCTCTCTCTCTCTCTCTCTCTCTCTCTCTCTCTCTCTCTCTCTCTCTCCCTCACACACACACACAACAGATGAAAACACAACTTCATACATCTCTGTGGTGTCACAGAGAGCACATTACAGAGATATGCTTGTGTTGTTGTAGCCAGGTTTAAGCTACACTAGGCTGCAGTGCTCAGTGGAGTAGGTAGAGGGCACTGTGGAAAGAGAGCGAGAAGGAGAGAGAGAACAAGAAATGTATGTGGGTCACTCTCTGCACTAGTGATGTTTTTAGCTGTCTTAAAATACTGCACTGTCCCCACAGAGCTCTGACCCTTTCCCACTCACTCCACACACACCCTTAACCACACACACGTTACACCTTGCACACATATCTCTTACACACACACCATGGCAAATCTTTATGGCACAGGCTCACTGTTGCGGGTAAGAGGGTGCACACTGCACATGTGTTGTGTGGGCTGTGTATTGCAGTGAAGAGAGAATGGATCTCTTCTAAATATGATGTTTGTGTAGATGAAATGGGCAGAATGTGAACTGGCCAGTCGCCAGAGTCTCAGCGACAGCCGTTTTCTCACAGTGCTCTAAAAATAAAAACGCCTTTATTTCAGATCTCACCAATCAGACACATCCTGCTCGATACAATCACATTTACACACACACACACACACACATACAGTACATATACTATACACTATACACACAATATAAACATATACCTACTCAACACACATTGTCCCTTCAGTCACGATGTACTATTTTGCCAAGCTTTAAATTTGCAGAATTTACAGCAAAAATATATTTATTTATTTAATAGTGCTGTATTGTATCATATTGTATATTCATTTATTCATATTAGTTCTTTTTATCATTTTTATGTATGCAGATTTTATGACTTCATTTGAATATGCTACTGCACTATAAAAAGTGATCAGCTGACTTAACTTAAAATAGGGACGAAACCCATTGCCTTTAAATTATAAGGTAAATAAACTTCATGCATAATTGAAAAAAAAGTCAAGTTTACATAACGTCATTTTTTCAATTTACGAATGAGGTTATTTACTTGATTTTAAGGCAATGGGTTTGCTTACTTTTTTTAAGTTAAGTCAACTGATCACTTTTTGTTCATTTTGTATGCGTTCATATAAAATGTAACTAATAAAAGTATTAAAAAAGCTTATGAAAATGATTAATCAAATATCCACAAACTCACATTCAACACACCCACATATACTCATCACGAGGTTTGGATGATTGACTAGTCGTTATGTATATTTGTTTATTGAATGTAATGAGATTTTATAGATTTCTTACAGATATTTTTTTAGCCATGATGCTTTAACTAGCATAGCACGCAGTTAGTCACAATAAAACGAAATGCTGTATTTTTCTGCTTTAAAGTAACACCACTACAGGCATACAATACACATTAAGACAAATGTCTTTTGCCATTGTGTCACATCTCACACTGTTTTATAGCGTCCCACTATGAGTGTTGCATTTTTAAGGCGGCATGTCAAGTTAAAAATAGTCCAGCTTGAGACTCTTGCATTCTGTTCCATTCTGTTGCACTTCATCTAGCTGTGTTTGCACACAAGAATATAAACGCTTACATAAACGCTCCTCAAGGAATATGTCCAAACGGGGTCAGGTAAGCCCAAACCCAATTATACAGGTTTTCTTAAGACCAATTATTTGACTACTTGTTAAAGCAACAAGCCTAATAATGATGCTTCTTGTATGGAGTGCAAGAAGCAGATGTGAAAAGTGTTAAAAGATATCTAGATTGTTAAGCCTAACAAATAACGGTGTGAAGTTCCTTCTTGATTAATGATGTTTTTGACACTTAGCCTCCTTTCATATGTGCTGTCTGGCTGCTGATGAGTTCCTGTCAGTCGCTGCTCCACAGGTGTTGGCATTCCGCTGAGAGAAGTGGTGTGAAAGCGACTCTTGCTAGACAAAGTCAAATGCCACAAAACGCAGCTTGACCAGTAACTTTAAGTCTGAGAAGAATGTGTTAGACCTGCTGATACACATGGGTACTATTCAAATCTGTGAACATTACCAAGAGGAGAGAGTTTTATATCTGGTTGAACGTAAACATACTATCTATGGAAGGGAGCAGCAGATAAGTGGATAGTTAACGAAGAGTTCTTTGTCTCAGAGTAAATGCACCTTCTGCTTTAGAGGTTGGCTGCATTGTTACTGTGTTACCACGGTAGCTGTGCATTTTACCATCACCAAGGATACCATATCCATGACAACCTCTACCCATCAAAAGATTCCATTCATAGCACATAAGAAGATGGCTGTACTGTATGCATCAAATGAAGGAAGCTGTACTTGTGTCACTCTAACCTAACCTGTTGTGAGCAACATTTGGCTACTGGAAGTAAAAATCCAGTTCATTTTCTCCATAGCGAAATAATTTTTTAATGAATATTTAGAGGTTTAAATGACAGACCTACCAACTCTGAGCCAAGAAGTCAATGCGTACATGTTTGATTGCTGAATTCCTATAAAAACTACATTACCCATAATAGTGAGGAGGAGAGCGAGCTTTACCAATGAGAGAAGTCACTGTAACCATGAAAATGATAACCTGGTTAAAACCCACTCGGATTAAGCACTGCAAATTATGTAATCAATTCAGTAAAAGCCCACTCTCATGAAGCATTGTAAATGACGTAATGGGTATCCTTACACTTTCCAACAACTTACATTTTTTAAATATTCAAAACTTATATAGCTAACTATATATTATTTGTATGTGCTTTAATATTTTAAAATAAACTTCAAATGTATTGTATTGTATACTTAAATAAAGGGCACTTAAAATTATTTATATGGGGAATAACAATATTTCATATCACAATATATACAAAATACAATACAAAAATGCAAAATGTGTCGTGACAATCTGTATTGTGTATAGGCCTAGTTCACCCAAAATAAAAAATTACTGTGTGAAAAAAAAATCAAGTTTACAGAGTTTTAGTGTCAGTACTACATTAAACTACTATTTATAATGTTGAATATAATGTGAATGGAGGTATATTTGTGGGTCCTGATGAATGTCTAGTTACCAGTAAAAAATGGCCTACATTATTTTAAATATATCTAGTCAGTGACAAGTCAGTGCAAGCATATTTGTCTAAAATAATTCTCTTTTTTCAGCTTCAGAATCAGAATCATGAATATTTTTTTGGGATTCTGGTGTCACCATTTTCCTGTGCATTGGGTTACCAGCACCAACTCCAAGCCTATTCATTTCCAACCCCAATGTAGGCTAATACTAAATTAAGCATTTTAATAAACAGTACATTTTTTTTGTTAACCTTTTACCATATGTCTTGGAGTAGTGAAATAATATTGTTTCGTGAGTTCAGTATCGTGATCTGTATCGAATCGTGACATGAGGGTATCGTTACACCACTATTTTATTTATATAGTACAGTTATTTCTCAGATAGGTAATTCTCAAATGCTTCATGGGGTGCAGTTCATTGCCTCATAAAATACATTTTAAATTAACCAAGGCTGCTGCAAATGTAAGCGCAATCACTGCTTGGCCATGAGCAGCATACCCTTAAAAGTGTGGATACATGCTTTCATTCATTTACAGGTTTCCATTATGCATTTTCCCGGTGAGGAACACAATGTAGCTTCAGATCTCAAAGCTGATGGGTGGATGGATTAGTGTTACTCGGGCTACGGCATGAAGCTCTGAGAGGTCTGACGACTCTTTCCACAGCCAAACATCCAGATTAACCACAAACTCATCGTTCTGCATTCATCCAAGCTGAATGTACTGTACATTGAGCATTGAAGCACACAGGCTGTTCTCAGGCTTACAGAGCTCCACTCTCTCTATTCTAGTTTCAGCAATATGCACTTCAAGATCTTCAAAATTCAGTATAAGTTCTAAAATGCATGTAGCTTTGATGTAACGTAAGATGTAACTTTCCCCAACACTGATCACGACTATAATTACAGCCATTACCGTATCATCACTGCCATCTAACCACTTCCATCATCACATTACCACAATATAATATACTATCACATACTATCATCAATATCGTGACTGTCACAACCATTATTATTGCCACCTCCACCGTCACATCACCACCACCATAACCATTGTCATCCTCACCAGTCACCACTACCATCAGCATTGTCAATCACCATCACAACCAACACTATCCTCATTGCTACTATCATTGGCATAATCATCATCACCACCATCAATCATCATTACCATCACAACCATTTTCATTTCTCACCACTAACACCATCATCGCATATGCGAAATCACCACTATCATCAACATTACCATCATCACATTATTATAACCACAATCATCCCCACCACCATTACCATTATCAATTAGTCACAACCAGTATTATCTTCACCATTACATCACTGTCACAACCATCCTAAATACTACCATCATTGCCATAATCAGCAATATTATCACCATTATCACATAATATTAATCACTATCACCACCTCATATAACCATCAAAATCATCATCACCATCACAACCAACATACTCATCCACACTACAATTGGCATATATATCAGTACTACCATCAGGAGCAGCACAAACATTATAATTATAAACATGATAATAATGAGCTGCGTCATTGTCATTACTATCAAATCATCATCATTTTTGACATTGTGCTTACCAGGTTTGAGTTGGTTGCGTTGGAATCATCCTCAGGGAAAGGGATGTAGACAGCTAAGGCCACACAGTTTGCAAAAATAGTCATCAAAATTATGATTTCAAACGGTCTGAGGAGTCAATGTTAAAGGAAATGGCATCAGAGCTGGTGCATACACAAAGCAAAAGGAGAATACACACAGATACAGTACAGTGCATGTTAACTCTTAACATTGCACACAATAGTGTCTAAGGGTCCAGATCCACTATTGTCTTTTTTTCTCCATCCAAATCTTTTTCTTCTCTTTGCCATTAATAGCACGGCTGAGCTCGTCAAAAACCTGGCCTTCATCAAGACAACGATCTTCACCACCCCCCAACCCCCAACCCTTTTCCTCCCTCTCTCTCTTTTCACTGGCCAAATTGTTTGTTTGGCTTTCAGTTCTGCTGGAAATGCAATCAAACTGTGTCATCATTTGTTACAGGAATGGATTTCTCCGAGATGGGTGTTGAGTCGCATGGCACGTGTCCTGAGGAGAAACAGATGTGTTCTTGTTTTTCTGGATGTTTCTCTTGTATCTGCTGTCTGGGCCTTGAGTTATGGCTCTCTGTGGTTAGTTCAGAATTACAGAGCCATAGACCCTGTAACCCGTTTAGATAAACATGCTTGTAGATCAGTAGTTCAGGTCCCTAAGGGAGTAAAAACAGACCATTGTAGGCAGGCCCAAACTGAATTTTATCTTTAAAGCTCTTACAATGTAATAAATAACACTTCTATATATGAAAGCTGCTTGATGGTGGATTCAGTATGAATGTGCATGACCGAATGCGTGTTTGTAGGAGGGGTCAATATCCGTGTGCATTTGTGTTTGAATGTGGGAGGGGTGAATATATTTGTGTGTGTGTGTGTGTGTGTACGCGTGGACCTGTTCAGCTTGTTGAGAGGAGCTGTTGGCATGGCAGTCTCCCAGTCTCTGGAGATGCAGATCCAGTCAAGTGTGTGCAAGACTGAAGACAAATATGGATGGGACCGGCAAAAGATTAACTTTTATAAAATATCCCACAGAAACTAATGAGGGAAAATATTTCACTGTCTCCGCAGTTCAGCCGTTCCCTCATGCCGGTTTGTGAATTTATGAGGAAATCTTTGATGATGTGATCAGTTCTTGGCTGAAACTGTGAATGGGAGCTGGATCTCCTTTTCCTGATGAATGAAGCATTTTACTCAACCAATCAATCCTCATTAACATATTTTCCTAGTTGGGGGCCTATCGCTGTCTCTTGTGGGCAGAAATGATTACACAAAACTGTAAGAGAGAGGGGGAAAAAGAGAAAGGAAGAGAAGAAAGGGGAAAAGGACAGGGGAACACGCTGTCCTACAGTCTCCAGTAAAAGGGCAGTTGAGGGGAGAATTTAAATGACTCAAAGCTAATCTTGATTTAACCCTTTTTGTAATCTAAAGAGACCTATAAACCATTACACAAAAACACTATAAAAGCGAACCACAACAAATTGCATTTACACCCATAAGGTGTAATAAAGTGGCTATAACGCATCTGTAATACTAACAAGCAGATAATACAGCAATTAATAATAACTGCATACAGTGTATTCAAATGCACCTCTGTGAATTAATGTGAAAATGCATTTATGACTGAGATCAAATTCTGAGCCATTTTTCCTGAAGAGTTTATGAGCAGTGTGTATTTGTAACACTGATAAAATGACACTCAAAAAAAACGACAGTATCCTCTGCTACCTGCTGAAGCAATCATCATAAACCCAATGTCAATGTGAGGCTTTTTTGGATGTAGCTCAGGGAGGAAAGTGTCTGCCAAGAATGCAAATGTATAAATTAAAGATAAAACAGAACCTTCATAAGTATTGGCTGCTCTCTAATGTGACATCAGTTTGAGCATCAGTTCACCAGCTTGTCATATTCATGTGCGCTCTTTCAAACTAAATATGTGGTCAGATACAGTCCAGATATACATATACACACTACTGTTCAAAGTTTGGGATCAGTACTTTTTTAAATAGAGGAATTAATACTTTAATTCAGAAAAAGGATGCATTAAATTGATCAAAAGTCACAGGAGAGAATGTAACGAAGTCTATTTCAAATAAATGATGTTCATTTGAACTTTCCAGTCATCAAAGAATCCTGAAAACAACTGTATTACAGTTTCCACAAAAACATTAGGCTGCACAACATTGATGATAATAATAAGAAATGTTTCAGCATATCAGACTTATTTAATAAGAATCATGTGACAATGATGACTGGCATAATAATGCTGAAAATTCTGATTTGCCATCACAGGAATTAAGCACAATTTTAAAATAGAAAACAGTTATTATAGATTGCAATCGTATTTTACAATATAACTTTTTACTCTATTTTTGATTAAATAAAGGCACTTCTTTCAAAACATTAAACTTTTTTACCGACCCTAAACCTTTGAACAGTATTATATTATATCAGCAAGTCAGAGTTCAGAAAAGGATACTTCCATTCCACGATATTGATGCACGCCCTGCGGATGGGGTTTTTAAGAGTGAGGCAGAGAAGGGCTCGGGGTGGGCGTGTGGAGGCAGTGCTGGCCTGTTTCTTGGGTTTGGTGTAGTGCTGGCGTTTGCGCTGCGTGGAGCTTATGGTGGAGATCGGGGCTCCGGTGGTGCCCATCAGCTTGGCCTGCCGTGCCGCGTCGATGGCTGCCTGCCAGCTAAGGGGGGCGCCAGGGGTGGGAATGTGTTCAGGTGCAAGACCCAACACCCCACCCCCGCCCCCCACACCCTCGTCCTCATTCAGACTGGGGACCGGAGCCAACGACGGACTGGAATAGTTGGAGCCTGTAGAGGAAGAGAAGGAAACAGTGAATGAGAGAGCATGAGGGGCGATAATAGCAGAAACACACACAAAAAAGGAACTTCTACACAAAACACTAAGTTCTGTGAAGGTTTTGTCATATTCATTTTTATTTTTTTAAATTGGCAACTTTTCTAATGTCTTTTAGGGTAGATTTAAAAAGGTGAAATAATAATAATAATAATGATGATAATACAATATTTTATTTATTTAGCATTGTCCCAGACCCAGATTCATTATAACAAAAAAGCCCACAGCCAGAAGGACAAGCGGTTATTAAAACAGTTTGTGTGCTTGTCACATGCTTGTCCAATCTATGTTATTAACCTTGTGAATATGCAAATAAGACCATCAATCCATCCACAAATGGGTTTACAAACGTACAGCGTGAAATCTCGAAGCTAAGGAACCCAAGATTTAATACCCTTGGTATTTATATTTTATGTCCCCTGGGTAACCAATTTCAGGTGTGAAAAGCCAATGAATCAACAATGTTAATTGTTTTGTGGCATTCCAATTTAATCATACTGGCCAATAGCAACAGAGTATTCATATGATATCACACTAAACAGCACACATGGCAGCCCTGCAGGACTGTGTCTCATCTCCATGCAGTCCAAGAACGTACAATCCAAAGTGTGTGTGTGTGTGTGTGTGTGTGTGTGTGTGTGTGTGTGTGTGTGTGTGTGTGTGTGTGTGTGTGTGTGTGTGTGTGTGTGTGTGTGTGTGTGTGTGTGTGTGTGTGTGTGTGTGTGTGTGTAAAATGAGAGACAGAGTGAGATCTCAGCAGTAAACCACAGAACTGACAATTTCTCCCATCCTGTACACTCCTTTTTCTCTCCTCCTCTCTTTGTGATAAATGGTTCAGCCCACCGAATAGGCCAAAGTCTAGATTAGTTTGAAACATCATATAAGAATGAGGTGAGTTGAACATGCATTACCTAGAAGTAAGTTATTTGTAGGGCTAGAGGTGCAGTCTTTAAATTAGACGTTTTAGATAAGAGAAAGTGCTGGGTTTTGGTCATTATGATTCAGTAAAGTATGTTTGAGAGTAAGAAGAGTACTGAAAGGCTGTTGTCTCTTATCAGACTGTTGAAATACAGGAAGTCAAAGTGGGCTTTTCTCGATGACATGCTGACTCTCCTAAAACGCTGTCTCTAATTACCGTAGTAATGCCATGCTCTGGTTAAAGTACTTTCAAAAGGAAGAATCTCAGTTACTCATTCTAAAGCACCCACATTCAATTCACTCTCTTGAGAGATACTCTCTCTCACACACACTTTCTAATTAGGAAATAAGTTTGTGTCTTAACGTGAGACACACGATCATACATAAAAGCAGAAACAAACAAAAAGAGCTACACACACATATACACTTGTAAACTTGAATTCACCCAAAGGAAAGAGGACGTCAAGAAAAGAAAAGAAAAAAATCACCACATTTCAAATCCCACAATCATACACGGATATCAAATCTGCACCTCACTGAAAACCTTCAAAAGTATGAGCCATCAGCTCTGACAGCCACTAAAGCTCTTCGGTTTGGAATCCATATTGCTGATGGATGGATGAACTGAGATTCAATCACATTCTGCAACTGCATCCCAGACACCAGGGGATCCCCTTTTACGCTGATCTGAGATCAGTATTGGGCTTCTCTCAGAGCTTTTGAATAAAGGGTGACTTTAAAAAAAGATTAACATTGTATTTTAACTAGCAGAATCAAATTAATGAAAACTACAATGGACACACATAAAAGACAAAGTGAACAAATCAATGAGCAATATAAGCAAGGGAAACAAACTGTAAAAAGTGATTTAACTTTTGAAAAAAACAAAACAAAACAAAAAACAATTAATGGTCTTTATATTTTAGTCATGAACATGACAACGGAATGAATGAATAAAAAAGCCTTTAGCAAATGGCATTTTTATTTACCTATATATTTTCTTACAGTATGAGCTATTTTAAATATGTAAATACATTTATTTATTTAACATTTTGTAATAAGCTATGTAAGTACTGGATGAGCAAAAAACAGACTGAAACATAATCAGGGAGGGGCTAAATGAGATTGGGCAGAGGATACATTTTTTTCTCCAAAATATGGAATATTTGACCATATGTCATCATTTTCACTCCAGCAACTAAGCAAACACACATATCCCTCAGCATGTGTTAATCTAGTGCACTGCATGGATGAGTGCATTTTAACGCCACAGTCGCACACTCTTTCGCATACTGTTTTATGAGTCAGCATCACCATTCATATATTCATCTCACCACACAAAAACACATACACTCGTTCACTTTCTCTCTGAGCAGTACAGTAAGAGCTTTTTCACTGTTGCATTACAGCAGTGGATGTCAGATGATGATTTGACCATTACTGTACGAGAAAACAATCTTTGTCACAACACAAAGATAAATACACCTTTTAATCACACTGTGGCATTGTTTGGAGGTGTTAAGGGAGTGCTATTGGGGTGGGATTAAACTTTACTCTTGTGCATACAGGCGCTGTATTAAACCGTACATAAAGTATCGAATGAAAAGTGTTTCTTTTTCTACATAAAAACGTCTGTGTATTTGACAAATATTGCATCTAATCCACTTCATCTGAGATAAAGTGTGCAAACACTGCAAGCTTCGCTGTGAGAAACTAAATTCGACTTTTTCATCACCTCACAGATCAATTAAATCCAGCCACAGTCGAAGTCAAACACATCTAGTGGGATATTGTTTGGGGGTGTGGTTAAAGCTGTGATATTGTTTTGTATGCTGGGTTCTGCTCAGTTAGCCAGTAAAGGACAATCTGCATGACATAAAATGACTGGGGTATTTAGAGGTGAGAAAATATGAAACTACAGCAGCATAAAGCAGAATGTAAGCAGGGTACCCATTTACATTACTTGTATCTAGTCAGTTCGCTGTCTTTGTCATCTCTTCTACATACCATGGATAGAGTTTTTCTGTAAAGCATAGACACCACGTCTAAGAAATCTGACCCCTTGGCCTCTGCAAGCATCTTAATCTATTCAAAGATCAATAATCATTACAAACATTCATTAATTATCCATATATTATAGAAATTGAGATTAAGATTTTAATAGTGTGGCAGAGGGGGCACAAGTTAAGCCTTAAAACCTAGTACATTACTTGCAGAAAGATCCAAACACAGAAAGAGACACGGGACCCTGTGGACCCAAAACACCGACAGACACAGACACACACACACACGCACGCACACGCACACACGCAACACAGTATTAATAACATCCTGTTTAAAATTCATCTGCAGAGATACAAGGCCAGCATAACCCAGATTCATAGGGAGAAAGTGTCATCTTTCTTTCTGAGGTAAGGTAACAGAACGCAAGAGTGAGAGAGAGAAGAAGTGACAGAGAGAGCGAAAGATCTGTATGTGGTGGCATCAACAGATCTTGTAACGCATCTTGGTGAACTAAGTTTCCTTCATTCAGATGAGACACTTTAAACTCTATTAGGTCAATGGGTTTATTAATATTCGGAAAATTTAAAATAATTTTAATGTATCAGAATATTATGTGTGGAACAAAGCCCTTTAAAGTGAGGTTGAGCTGTGCATCATAAAAGTTTAACTTTGACTTTATGTGTGCCAAGTTAATGTGGCACTGAGTCATTGCTCGATGATGTCACACATGCGGCAGTGAGCTGTAAAGCACGAAATACTCACTGTTCATGACTTAGTAGGGAATTGTGGGAAATGGAGTTGATGATGTTCTGAAGCCATAAAGCTAAAATAAATATACCAGTGAGAAAAGACCCAGCTACTGAGAAGAAAATTAGCCAATGACAGGATAATAAAGATGAGATACACACAGGGCTTTGGCCACCTGATTTTTTGACTCTCTCACACACACACAGATGAAAGACACAGACACAAAGAGTGTTTGCTAAAGAGAGATACAGACAAAACAACAGCAGTGCTTGTGATGCACATTCAAAAACTCTGCCATTGCTGTGTGTGTGTGTGTGGCATGAGAAGAGTAGGCGGGGCACACTGAAGGTGTCATCCATTACCATCTGTTCAATTACATCACTGCTATCAAAGCCAGCCAATCAGATCAAGCAGCTCAGTCACGCTTCACTGGTCCTTCAGCCATAGCACACGCACACACACCAACACATGACCAAAACCTTAACAAAGCAGGACGCCAACACCAACATGTTTACACGCCCCAGGATGTGTTCTCACATAATTAGCCGTCATTCAGCATTAACATATACGTACACACCTGAGGCAACAAACACACAAAATCACACACCTGAGACGTACACACAGATACACCTGAGACATAGACACATACATTCGCACACCTGAGCTCACATTTCTGAAATACTTACACACACTCACATCCTGACCTGAGATATTCACATACACACACCAGAGACAGCAAAACAGTGGTGCACAGCAGCAGCAAAATTATTTAGCCACCGAAAAAAAACTGACATCATCTGTAAAATAAATAAATCATATCATATAAGTCGATAGGATAGGATGGGATGGAATAGAATAATGGTGTAGAGAAAAAAATAAATGGTGGTTCATAAAAATTCAGCCATAAAGTCAACAATAATAGTAACAAACATTAATAAAGTAAATAGGGTCAGTTTTGATTTCAAACTGACTTTAATTTATCCACTAAAATGCTGCTGTCTCATTCATCTTTTTTATCGACAAGCTAGATTAGAAAATAATCTCCACCGACACACTAACATATAGTGAACGCTGTGTCCTAATGCTGCTCCACATTGCATATCAGATATGAAACATGTTCTGATCTGCTTTGATTGTGTTGTGTCGAATAGCCATTCTGCTTTTTGTGTGAACAGACAAATTACTTTCTTAAAATGAGTTGTGCCGTGTCTAGTTAAGTCATGTTGCAAGTAGTCCTCCTGGGGTACTGCTCAAGGCTTTCACTGAAAACTGCAACAATTATAAT